TGTCCAACTCTGGTTTTCTCCCATGACGACCGAGTGCCGACAAATCCTACCTGTGATACGCAAAAGAGCGAAGTCCTGAATTCTTCCTGAACTGAGAAATTAACAACTTTCCTTCAAAACAAAACAAAACAGAAAAATAGGAATTGCTGACAGCAGGTTTCATGTGTTATTAAGACTTGGTACCCAGCCTCCCATCCCATAAATACTACATATTCTATTAGAGCTAATGCAATTTCCAGCAAATACGTTATTTAATCAGCAGAAAGGTTTTTAGTTTAGATTTTTTTCAAGTTTTGCAAGAGCACCTTTCAGTCATTCATGTCAAACTACCTGACGACACGACCACAGAACGAGGATCTGGGGTTTTTAACGAACAGGACGGGTACGTAACAAACGTAAATAGCGTCATAAATGCCACTTTTCGCTTTAGTGGGACTTGATCTGGGTTCCTCCTCCTGACCTATAGCAACCGCCTCGCACCGTACTGGCATGAAGGCTTGGATGTTCTCCATGTCAGTACGACACAGTCAAAGAAAAACTAGAGTTTTCTTCCTGCCCTGAATGACTGAAGGACGCTCTGCTCAACTCAATGCTCCATGGCACTTCACAAAAGAGGTCAAGACACAGAGCAAAGACCTGAAACAGAGGGAGAGAGAGACAGAAACACTGTAGAGGAGAGAGAGAGAGAGAGAGAGAGAGAGAGAGAGCTCGGTCCAGTGCATAGACTGTACATAAGAAATGGACACATTTGTTTGGTTACAAAATGCAGCCCAATGTTGAGTCCTCCAGGAAGAGACTTTGACCTTTGACATTTTGGAACCACATGTTCTCAGACATTACCCTTAACTACGATCCTATTGGATGGAAACAAGGGAGAACCTAAAATTACGGACGTGGAATCAGAGCCAAATCCATGGCTGTTCCAGTCTGGGCCTCGTTGACTCTCCATCAGGAGCAGCAGGAGAACAAGCTCTTCCTCCTCCATCTGTCCAGAAATGTAGTGACCGCTCGATGTCATCGCTCCTATTTCAACATGTTTTTGTTTTTGTTGTTTTGCATTATGTCCCAATTAATAAGACCTGAGAAACAGTGGAGTCGCCCTCTAGTGGTTCACTCCAGTCAATGTTTTGGGCTTCACGGTAAGAACCAGAGACTTCGGTCCATTCCTTAAATACAGTTTGTTTTCCAGTGACGTAACAGTAGCATAAATTATAAAGCCAATAAAAAACCCACCAAGTCTCACCCAAAAACAGAAAAACCCAAGAATCAAAACACGTGGTTTGTGTACCTTCCACGTGGGCAGCAGGTTTCATTTTTTGCACTAAATGTCTGTGTTTAAGAACAATTACATAAAAACTCTGTAAACGAAAAACTTTGTGATGCGTCTTCAACTGTTGAAACGGAATGTAAACCAGGTCAAAACTGAAAATAAAAATAAAAATGAAAGGCTCTCCTTTTTTTCTGATCAACTCTGCTGAACTGATGTAGCTGTTAGCCATTATCAAAGATGTGTAGTTCCTGATTATACATACATATTTAC